CCACCCGCAAAATCCTGATAGACTCATATGTGCTTGAAGGGGTTTCAGGATTTGGGGTTTGGGCGCTAGTTCTTCAGGGTGGGGGTCATGCTTCCTTGGCTTCCATGAGATAGCCATGCATCCACGTAATGCTAGGCTGCTAGTCGTCATACAGCTGACCATGCAGACTCATGATGGCATTCCAGTTCGTGATGCCGCCCGCCATGGCCTCCTGCCAACATGTAGTTCTACCTTCACAATCATGCTGTACGTGGTGTACAAACCACATACACTACACCATGTCAGCTCACCGCAGAAAGCTCTGTAAACCTCGAGCTGCACAGCAGGTACATCCGAAGACATCATGAAATCCAGCAACGCCGAAACCGGAAGTCTGAAATTATCCTGCTCCTCTTCACTTCGGACGCACCAGTTTGGTTTTAGACTCTCCATCGACTGGGATTTACGAACTACCCCCAGATTCTTCAATCTGTTTACCACGGGCACGATTCTTCTAGAGAACAGTCCCGGGGGTCTCAAATCCCAACTTCCAGGGTTACAAATCTTCAAGGATTTGGGCTTGCGGGTGAAGCTTGCTCCGATCTAGGCCGTGGATAAGCACATCGGCTGTATCCGAACGTGTGCAAGTTCAGAGCAGCAGGTCTTGTTTCAATGGGGATCCAACATAGGAAGAAGCGAAAAACCAGCGTTTAAGCTAAATGCCAACTTCCCTAAACCCTAAACCCTCGAAGTCCAGACAGTGAGAGGGGACGTATGCTGCCTGCCCCCTGTGGGCTCTCCAGACGCATTTACCATGCAGACGGAAAGAGGTGTCAAAAAAACCCTCGAAGTCCTCAAGAATATATCCAGAAGCTGCAAGAAGCAGTTCATGGGTCACCCGAGACTCGACCCAAGACTCTGCAACCTTGCTGCCCTTATCCCTTAATTTTAACCCAATCACCCGAAATCCAAGGGCTCCAAAGCCTTCCAGCCCTCAATTAAAGAAGAGCCATAGGCCCCGTAGTTTATGTACCCAAAGCTCCAAAATCCGAAAACCCTAAGCTTCCCTAAACATCTCTGTCTTTCCAAGGCCCAGGAGTCGATCGCCCTTCTCCCGCAGCTTCGTGAGCGGGACCAGCTTGTAATTTTTTGGGGCCTGAATAGTTAATATGGGGGTTTGGGGCCCCTACATTACACTGTATGGCTTCAGGGTTGCAGGGATTTCAGGGATTTGCCGCTCGTCTGCTTGATGGGTTCTTGGCTTTCGGCTTTGGGTGTGAAGGGCCGAGATCTATCAAGTTCCTTCGTGGTGACGGTATGTTTCACTTCCGGCCTCGTCTGAATACTGCTCAGAGGTGTACTGGGCTTGGGTATTCGGGACTCTGCGGGGTAATTTCCTCACCAGGGCAGATTTCCAATGCACGACTAACATTCATATAGTCATGATGCCGTTACACCAGTACAAATACCAGACCTGCACCGCAAAGCGAAAGCCTTAAATTATACGCGGAACGGAAGACCTCAAACCCAGAAGCAAATTAATATATTCCTCAAGCCCCGAACCCCAACGACCCGCCAAATCCTGAGGACCTTTCCATCACTGCTTGGGGACTTGCACGGCAAGAGTCGCGCGACGAGCAGTTCTTGCGGGCTGCAGGCAACTCTCGTCGGCAATCCTGAGCCCTATGCTGCCTGTAAACCCTCGAAACCCCCAACCCCAGAGACTATTAATATAGGGGCCTTGATAATTATCTGTACTATTTTGGGGGGTTCCTAATTATAAGTACTGTATAATGGGCCCCAAAACCCAATTCTAATTATTAAGGCCCCTACAGTATCATGGTTCTCCAGTACCTTGCTTACCCTTTGTTCCGACTTCTATCACAAGCAAAAATTATCTAATTAGTGGGCATGAGTCTGAGGTTTAACCTGTTGTTTCCAAGAAGTGGGTAACCCTAAACCATAAACCCAAAGCTGCTAGGATGTCGAACATCAGATTCGCATGGCCCCTCAAGCTCAGACTCCCAAGCTACTCTTGCGGAGGGTTCGGGCTCTTGGGGTATTTAGGGTTTGGCGCCTCGGTTCCTGGCATGCGCATAGCCCGGGTGTAAAGGGTTTAGGGTAGGGATATGAGCTGCAGGCGTCTCTCTCTGTGCATGCGAGCAACCTTGTCAAGGATGTTAACGTTTGCTTTGCACAGCGATAAGGCGACCGCCTAGAAGCGATAACTCACCAATAGTATCCAGAAGAGCTTATGCTGCTGCTGCTGCTACTACTGCTACTACTGCTACTACTGCTACTACTACTACTTCTACTACTACTACTACTACTACTACTACTACTACTACTTCTACACTACTACTACTACTACTACTACTACTACTACTACTACTACTACGACTGCTGCTGCTGTTGCTGCTGCTGCTGCTGCTGCTGCTGCTGCTGCTGCTGCTACCAATCTTATTGGTCTTACGGCTTCACGATTCTGGGTTTGTGGGGTCCTGGGCTCCAGGATTCAGAGTTTTCCGATTCGGTCGGCGGAATCTTCTTGCAAGATGTGGCAACCCTTGCTTGCAGGCACAGAAGCGGTGACTGCGGCACGATTTGTATCCGGCTTTGTCCGATTGCCGATTGTGGGGTGGCCTTGAGGGTTGGATTTGTGCGTTGATGGCCCCCTGTAGGTTGATGAGGGCTAGCTTTTCTCCGGGGGAGTTTGCCAATTCCCTGGTTTTAAGAGCCGGCCATTTATGTTCTAGCCTTGGGTGCGGATTGACGCAACCGTTTCTTGGACTCCACACTCGAAGGCCACATGCTGTATCCATGTCCGAGGGTAAGTCATTAGATCACACTGAAGCCGAGACACCATAGACCTGTTTGCGCTACACCAACCGCTCTGATCCAAATCCTGGCTGTCAGCTGTAGCTTTCAGCTCCTTTTTCCCTGCATGTTGGCTTTTAGAAACCGTGGGTGGCCTTGAACCAATGTAGTATGTGTACACTGTTATATACCGCATGTATACATACATACATACATACATACATACATACATACATACATGCCTACGGCTTTCTAGCTTGGGTGTGCAGCGAGTGACATGTAGGCCGTCTGGTGGCAACGTAAACTCCATAAGCCCAAGGCTCAATTTGCAAGTCTCAAGATAACTGGACATGGAAGGTTAGTAGTGGCTTAGTGTTACTCCCAAGCTTAGTCCGACCCTCAGCTGCACCCCCTTCTGCACGAATTTGCCAGGTGAAAGGCGCGCGGAGCTTTGTGGGCTGCCACCAGGACCGGGCGAAACGATCATTCTGAAGCAGGTGAGGGCTGTCTGAACGCCTCCAGCCAAAGACTGCTTGTTACCCTGGAACCTGAACCCTAGGCCCTAGGCGGCAGAGTTAGGAGCAAGCCATCCTGAGAATCAAAACAATATATCTTCGCAGCTTGAGCTGCATAATGTGCCCAACCTCTGAACCCCATGCTCAACTCTTGAAGCTTAAGCTGGTCAGCCCGAAAACTCATCAGGAAATTGCCAACCTAGGCTGGGCCATGGCTTTGTCAGATGTGTGCACCGCCCTCTGGTCCGGAGTGAGGGCGTCTAGGGCTTGGGATTCTTCGGGTCCCGGAGCAGCGTTCGGGAACCCTTGGGAAGCCTAGGAAGACCTATCCAGAACGACCCTGTGTAGCCTTGCATCGCAGACCTTTGGGGTTTTGGGTTGAGGAGCTGGGTGGTTTTTTGAGTTCGATCCGTGGAAACTTGGGATTAGCATTGCCTATAACTCTTTTTGGGGTTCTTGGGCACTGCCAAGAATCTTTGGTCATCGCCGCCCCACCAAATGAAAAAACTGGCGAACTTGGTGTACTTGAGAAAAGACATATATTACCGCACGTGAACCTCTTAGACCCTGTTGCAGCTTACTTGTCCGGCGAAATTTCAAGGAAAGCCGAAGACTGCGGGTTTATCCCTTTTCAACACTTGTCGTTGCTCACTTTTGTCCGATTCCCTGAAGTCATCTGAAAGCAGTTCTCATCCTGGGAAGCCTCTACGCCTGATCTGTGAAAGCACTCGGCCGTGATCGATCTTTGTTTGCTTGATTTTTTGGTTCAGTGAAGTTTGCGTGCGATGCTTGGTGCATAACTGCATAACACTACAGGCCATGACACCTAGGCCACAAGCATCGCTTACCCTCCACACTTAAGCATCCTGCTGCAGGCGTCTTCAAGCCTATAATTGATGTTTTGTGTGCCTGCACTTGCGTAAAGCTGCTGTGCCGGTGGGTTGGGAAGACAAAATGCCGAAACTCCTGATTCCGCACCCCCGAAATCGAGTTTCGTGTCCAACGGTTTCTTTTCCTTCTCGTTCCAGCCACGGAGCTACACAGCCCCAATCACGTACCCTGAGCCTGACGTTCCGTGTGCTGCGAGCCCAAAGGGCCCAACACGATTACATAGGGTTGTTGTGATTTTGATATACCGTCATGCTGAAGCCGATAGTAGGATCCGAAGTAGGATGATATACCTTGTGGCTACAGAAAGATGCCACATGACATTTGAGGTTCAAACTTCCCCCTTCTTCCCGAAAGCCGATCCTCGGTTCAGCTGCATGGGCTTCGCGAGTAGGCATCGGGCTCAGTGTTTGTTGCCCAGCGTTTGGTGTTCTTCTGGCAGGTGTAAGCTTGTCGCTTCCGGGTAGGCATGAGAAACTTCTGCAAAACGGCTAGGTTCGGGGCTTCGGGAAACATTTTGGGCTTTGCAGCAGCCACCGGCTCTAGGCTCTGTGGCATGAAGCCTTGCAGCTCAAGGTTGCATCTTCAATGTTCATGCACGCCCACGCCAGAAACAAATCGAAGCTAAGGGTGCGGCGACGGTGCCTCATAGGCTCATACGTAGCAGTACCACATACATGGCGACTACGACAAGGCAAAACTGCTTTGAAGGCCAACAACACCCTCATGAGGAAGGAAAAGAAGTACGCGGCTCCAATGTCAGGCCGGATAGCAAGGCCACGGCGTGACCTCCCCTCAGCCATGGCGGAAGATGCTGCGGCCATCGAGGACAAGGTACTTGTAGTGCAGAAGCACAGGGAAACCAGGGGGCTGAAAGGAAGTTGGAAAGGTTCAGGGTAAGAGTCAGAGGTATGCCTTTCACGTTTCGGGCTCTACCTGTTTGTGTCTTCAACTTCGAAGTTCTGTAATCAACATTGAAACGGGACTTTTACCTTACTTCAGCTTTACCCCAACTAAGCACCACCCTAGCTCTGAAAGCAGCAGCACAGGCCCCTGATGGAGACATGAACATTGTCTCCGGCTTGCTGGTGGCGCACCTTGTCCGGCAAGCTTTGGAGGTATTTACTATAGGAGCCTTAATAATTAGAGGGGGGCTATATACTGTAATTATGACAAGGAACCCCAAAATAGTATTGCTCCAGGTCGTTGCACTCTGAAGTCGGGGCTCGCGCCTTCCAGCTCAACCCTCTAGTCTGTCTACACAATTCTGCAAGTGAGGTATTATTCTTGGGTGTGAATCAGAGTTCACGGTGCAGCTGTTCAGGTTGAAGGTGGTTTGTAGTAGCCTTGTAAAGGTGTATCCTCAGAAATCGAAGCCCTCCAGCAACGGCAACCACCTGGAAGATGCACTTCCTGACAGCCTGAGGCATGTCGAGGAGGTGAGGAACCACATTGACGAGGACCGCTGTGCTGTGACAGCTATAGGGTGATGTCAGCTTGCGGCTTACAAGGTATGTTTTGGGATTTAGGGCCGAGGTTAGTCTAGAGGTCGTTCCTAGCTGGGACCACACCCAAAGTCGTATACTTTAGTTGTACTTACCCGGGCTAAATACTCATCTAGACGGTTGTTCCTATAGGCAAGGCCCAACCCGGTACCGACACCCGCAACACCCTAAATCCAACACCAGGTCTTCAAACAGGACAAGCACTTCCTGGACCGTCCGGAAGAGAGAGAGAGAGAGAGAGAGAACTAATAGCTCGCTCCCCACAAGTCGGGGGCGCTAACGCGCGCGGGTGAGGGGGGCTTGCCCTCCTTACCCCTAGCCCTGGCGAAAGAAAGAGAGAGAGACAAAAAGACGTAGCCAGAGAACAGAGTAATTAGAGGGATAACAAGTGACTGATGGGCCTCTTTTAGTATGATGTACCTCCTAAGCTGTATTGCTTCTTTCACATCTCACTCCTCCGAATTGGCAGTAAGCCTAATTACACAACCTTTACCACCATTCACTCCACTCGAAAACGGGCTGCGCACTAGCAGGAGGAGAGAGAGAGAGAGAGGGAGAGAGAGAGAAACAGAAACAAGCAAAAGATCCAATCCCTAAGCCTTAGCCAAATGCCCAGAAGACCCAGGAGCACAATGCCTGGACTTTGAAAATGTGGTGTCGGATGGATCGAGAAGCTCGGTCGCCCGAAGCCTCCGAATGCTTGCATCAGCAGCAAACTCCTGTGTATTGGAATCGGGTGTTTGGTCATGCCTGGCCCGCGAGTAAGTTACCTGAAGTTCATGGTGAGTATCTTCCTAATAACGCTTTTGAACAGGGCTTCCAGGAGCAATGGTTTGTTTGTGTTCATGCTGTGCGATTAGACAAGGCTCTTGGCTTTAGGTAGGGGCTGTGGCTTCAGTGCTGCGCTCTGTGACCCTCAACCATAAGCACCCACCACAACCGGTCACAAGGACACGAAGTGTCCCTACACCGCAAACCCTAAACCCAAAGCGCCTGTGCAGCCGTCAATCCTGCCTGTAACCCCATGCTGCCCCAAATTATCCAGACCATTAAAACACCTAGAGACCAACAAAAACATGTCCCCCTTTCAAGAGTACCTTGGTTCCCGAACCCCAACCTCCTGGGATGGGTCGATTTCAACTCCGACTGGCAAGGATGGGAACGGCTTCATCAACCGTGCGGAGCTGGATTGCGGCTTGGGCTGCCCAGAGACACCAATACTCCTTTTTGGAGGCGTATTCCTCAAACCAAATTAAGGCTTCCTGTTTGAGTTTGTATTCCATGCAATTCAATTAGTAGTGTGCCCTTTCCGGCGAAGCATTGTGGGCTTGTTGAGGCTTTGCAGGGGTTAATTTGACATAGCTTAGCAGGATTTTTCCAGATTGGTATATGGTGGGAGGGCTACTGCAGGTGTGCATGAAGGGTTCAAGTCCTCAAAGGAAGCGGAAGACAATATCATACGAATGCACCTTATGCTAGTCATAATGACGGCCACGTTGAGCACATCCCCATCCGCCCACACTGTGGCCTAGCAAGATGGCGAAGAAGAAGACGATGATGATGATGGCGGTGATGATGATGGTGCCCATCAAAAGGATGTTGACGAGGCGTAGAAGCTTGGTCCCTTTTCGTTTCGGTACTTTTTTTTGCCAAGATACCAGTTTCGGCCTTGTGTGCTGAGCTTGCTCGGAAAAAGACAATCGAGTCAGGATGTTTTAGGCCGGTGTTGAGGAACAGAGGCCAACGTCCTGTCGGGTTCTGGTCACTGTTTGTTGGGCTTTTTGGCTCATGTATTATGTGTATTAGCACCCTCGACCGCCCCAGAAGTTACAGTCTAGGCCAAGGTTCAATTTGGAGCTCAAGGGGCCGTCTTGTCATAGCATGCTGTGTGTGTGTGTGTGTGCGTGCTGCGTATTTCAGAGCGGACCAAACACTCGGATCGCTCTCCAAAGTCTCGAACCGCCCTTCTACTTAAGCACTAGACCCTATACACCCTAAACCGAATCACCTAAATATCTTTACCCCCCACCTCAGGTGAGGAGTTTCGGGGAATCATCCGCTCGGTTCTTGCACCCGAGATGGGGGCCGTCATGGGTGGCGTCGAGTACATGAGGTGCGAAGAAAAGTTGAGGGATTGGGGGTTTCAGGTCTCTTAGATTTGCGGTATGACATTGAGGGTTTGGTCTTAGTCTCATGCACCTGATATGCCCTGCACAGGAGCGAGCTCAACATGAGCCAAGCAATCAACTACTGCCTCAGCTCTTTGGCGTCGAAGGAGCCTGCAACGTACTCGCACTCTCCAGTGTAGTCTCGATTATTGCTAACCAGCAGTATGTTCAAGATCCTGGAATAAACAAACAGGCGACCAACAAATGCACGAGCTTCATTGGAGGGTGTAAGTAAGCCGAAAGCCCTGAAAGCCCTGAATGGCTGGCTGTTTTGCCGACAAGGCTTCATGCGCAAGGGCTCTTTGGATTTGCGGCCCGGGCAATGGAACCCACTTGTTCCGAGCCCGCCTCGGACAATCCAGCTGAAGATAGCCCATGATGTAAGAACAGCGGCTCGATGCCCAAGCCCCTAGACCTTGAAACTGTCCGACAATAAATGCGGTTTGGTGGCTGTCACCAGCTTGGGATGGGACACATTTTGGCGGGTTTGTAGTTGATTCAGCTTAGAACTCCATCCGCATGTCATGGAGTCAATTCTTGTGCCGGACATCTCAGGAAAAGCAGACCTCAACCGTGCCTGCCCCAGACGGTCGTCAGTTTGCTCTCCACATGAGTGCCGCGCAACGTTGCTTGCGAAACGGGCTGAGAGCGTACCAAATGGAACCCTCAGGCCGAAACCATGATCCTAGCGTCCAGTCGTGGCCACCCGTGTTTTGCTCGTCAACGTTGAGCGCGATCCCTGCATGCTTGCCACGTGAAGTTAGCCCAACCCAAAACTACGTTCACACTACAGTGCTTCCGCGGTGCTTAGTCATAGTCACTCTCGGTTTTAGGGCTGGTGCCTGCGTCCTTGTTCGAGTTTTTTCGTTAACATCGTGTAGATATAATGTAAGGAATGTGTTTCCCTTAGTAGCAAAGCGAATTACCTCGTTGTCATCATTCTAGTCATAGTCATTGTCGACAGCGAGAACCCGCAGTACAGGGGAGTAGTGACCCTGGTTACACCTGCCTCCGGCCCCGAGAGACTTACCCGAGCCCTCAGATGTCGAGCTACTGCACCTTGGGACCAATAGGTCCTACCTGCAGTTTGCATCGTGGTTGCTTGTTTACTTCCGTTTCTTGATAGGCAAGTTTGTGCTTAGGATCCTACAGTCAGTCGAAAAGCAAGTTACCAAACACAAACACACTGGAGGCGACAGGTGGGTTCCCTTTGCCAGTTTTTCCGTGGTGTAACTCCACCGTGCCTTTGGAACTTTAGAGTTCTTGAAGGTGACAATGTCCTCTCTTTCGCCGAATTCAACAGCTTCCTCCGTGTTCTCAAGAACCAAGATCTAGGCCTGGGGCCTCTGCTTTGTGTGCAAGTGAAGTGGGGTTTGCAGGGTGCCGGAGTGCAGGATTTAGCGGCTTCGACATGCAATGAATTTGGTGTTGCTGCGGTGTTGCGTTCAGAGGGCTGTAGCAAGGAACCGAGGCAAACCAAGATGGATGCAACAGCCAGGGGCACGGGCGCTACATGCTTAATTACAGAAGCAAACGGTAGGAGGACGTACGTGGCATATCCACCACAAGCTTCCAAGCAAAATCTCAAGCACCGAAACCATGAACCCTAAGCTTGAAGCAGGCGGGGGGCAACAAACGAAAGAACTGTGAGTTGTTTCACAGTTCGAGCTAACTCGGCATCTTCGGGCTGGGAATCTGGATACCAGCACTCTCGAGTAGACAAACTTACACGGAATAAAGCTACACATTTAACACTAGTACTATGGTTTGTGGGATGTACGGGATGCTTTAGGCTTTACGATAGTACGCCATACTGTGCCATCACTTGTGGTTCGGCCCCCCGAATATCTCCCCAATCCATAGTCCAGCAATGAAGGACCGCACTAGTAGTCTCAAGCACAAGAATTAGATTATACTAATTATACTCGTGATGACCGTTATTCATGGGGTGAAACCCTTGACCGTGTGAAGTTACTCAGCCCCTTTATGGCTTTTGAGGTTTAGGTGGGCAACTGAGATCAGAGGTTCAAGAGTCGGGCTTTCCAGGGAGGAAAGCCTATGAGTGAGTTCTCCATAGTTCTTTGTGTTTTCTTGGGTTTAGGACAGGACTTAGTGCAGAACGTGAACTGCAGGAAAGAGCACTGCCCATCTCATCTTCGCACTCTTCGATCTGGACCAGGCGCCATGCTTGTAAATTTCGTGTGACTTCTGCCCTGCACATCTCGTCTCTATTCTTGCAACGGCTGCCGCGGAAGAAGAGTCGTGAGGCAAAACGAGTTGAACGATAGTATAATCATATCTGTTTAACAAGTGAAGTTTCTGCAAAAGTTAAAACCGTATCAGTCCCCAAAACAAAACAAGCCTGAGCGGTTCAATACCCCTAAACCCCTTAAACCCCATGTATCAGGATAGGCTCGCAAACGTTCGCAAACGCAACCAGCCGCTAGCCAGGACACTTTCATCGATGAGCTGGAGTCAGGGGCCCGGAATTAGGGTTTCAGGGTTTAAGGTTTAGGGTGGGTCGGTCTGCTTACTCTAGAAGCCAGATAATTACGCAGACCTAGACCCTCCATCCACCTTCTAGTAGACCCTAAAAACCAAAAGAATTGGGGCCATATACTCCTATTTGAGGGTACAGTCGGGCACAAGGAGGGTCTTTGGTAATTACAAACCGTATAGTACACTTCTACTATAATGGAGCCCAAATTCAGGCCCCACTTTTCTTGTTCTGGGCTTCTGCTTGGCGGTTTCGGAGTGAGGGGGGGTGTTTAGGGTTTAGGGTGAATTGTATGTAAGAGGAAAGATGCGGCGTTGACGGCGGGTTTGTCATCCGTGCGAGATGCCTTGTGTGTGGGCATCCGAGAGTGAATGTGAGTCATCGCTTAGAACCGCTGAAGCAGGGCCTGGAAAAAGGAAGAAACAGCTTCGAGCAGGGACAATGCGCGAAGTACGTGATCTTAAACTCAGAGTTTACGAATATTCACGACCTCATGGTTGCGACCCATCCGACCTACAGACATATGCCTCGCCCGGACTGTCCAAGTTGTGAACGCCGGAAGCCATACGCTGCCTGTAAGCGCCCCTTCTGAAACTCTATACACCTTCATACAACCCCATTATGGAACCTAAATCCCTTTATGTATACCTAAACCCTAAATAAACCCTAAACAGCCCGACAACAACCATGGAATCCCTGTTTGAACCCCAAGCGGTTTCAGACCGCGACTCTGAGGTTCCGAGAAGTGTTCCGGTTCTTCCTGGGCCACAAGCCTACCGAGGAGCCAAGTTGCCTTTTCCTGCAGCTTGTTTTCTTTTTGCAGGTTTAGGGTTTAGGGTTTGTCTTGTTTCTTGGTTTGTATAGGCCTCTTTCATAGTTCTACAAGGTTCCTGTGGGGCTTTAGGACTTATCCGCTTCATGAGGCTTAAGGGCTTAGGGGTTCCTCAAGAGATCCTTGAAAAGCTCGGTGGTCGGCAAGCTTAGAAGGGAGCCGTCGCTCCGGGGCCCTGGGTCCCCCCTTTTAAAAGGCCCCTCAGGGAGGATAAAAAACACCTAAAAATCCCAAAAACCCTAGTCCTCAAGCCCCCCACAGCCCTTAGGGCTTTAGGAGGATTGCTTTTGAGGTTTACTAGACTGTAGGGTTTCTTAAGGGTCTATGTGCCTTTTTTTATTATACAAGGGGACATCCGTCATGTCCATCGTCGACGGAGACAAGGCACTCAAGCAACAACTCCCAAGAGTCGTAGAACATTGATCCCCGAACCACCCAAATCGAAAGCCACAACTACAGAATTGAGATCATGAGCTCTAGCGAAGCCCCAGAACTCCAAAGTCCCAAAGTCCCAACTCGGAACCGGCCTCAGCTCAAGTCCCACTCCCAGGTTTAGGGCTTCGGGTGCCCCCCCCCATCCCAAAACCCTACCGAACCGAAGGAGCAGTTTCAGAATGAGTGGGCCAAGCTCGACCGCTGTGGAGATCAGAGAGTCGACCTGTCGAGGCTTTTCAAGGGGCTGAGTAGGCCTTACCCAGACCCTAAAGAACCTACCTTTTTAGGGATCCTTATTATAGTTTCTGTATATAAGTCCTTAAAAAGGTAGGTTCTTTCGGGTGTGGGCTTAAACCCTAAGCCTTACCTTTTTGATTCTTAAAGGTTTAGGGGAGAAACCCTAAGCCTTTAACCTTTTGGGGCTTCTATGACCCCGCTATCATTCAAAAGGTTAACATGTTTGGGGGGCTATGAGTACCGAAGCTCCTGAAGCCCATCAGGGTCCTACTCAAGCACCGCAGAAGGTGGGATCAAGATAGGTGCTATAGCTATTGTAGGATTAATATAGGGCCCCCCCGAAAGGGGAAGACGAGTGTAAACATGAGCATTTTATCAGGGTATCCCAACCTTTTTGGGGCTTCGTCATAAGGGGGTGTGTTTGAGAGATCACTATCCTACTGCCGGCTTATGTGCCATGTGCTTTTTCTGGGGCCCTATTGGGGATTTTTGGGGGTAAGGCGCCCTAAGATTGGGACCAACCCACCTTATGAGCCTCCAGGGATTTGGGCTTGATAACAAGTAATCTTACTCCGGTACTAGGGTTGAGGCCTCAGGATCTATGGTGCAGTGGCTGACTAGTATGGGCGATGGCAGGGTTTAGGGTTAGGACTCCGTCAGCATTGCTGCTGTTATAATTTTGATTGGCGTTGCTATCATGGTTTGTTGAACTTGTCGTTCTTATGCTCGGTGTTGAGGCTTAGGGGGTTTCGACTGAAAGTGTTTTGAATTGTTTAACAGGGTACTGTTATTTCTACTGCCACTTTTGAGGGGTCGTGCTCTGGCTCGTGCTCCCGCGCTGGCTTTTGCTACCGCTTCTGCTGCGTCTCTTGCGCCTGCTCTTGCTGTTGCTCCCGCTTTTGCTCCTGCACTTGCTCTTACTCCCGGTCTTGCTTTTGCTTTGTTGATGCTGATGCTCCTGCTCTTGCTCTAACTCCTGCTCTTCCTTTTGCTCTTGCTCTTACTGTGCTCTCAGGGCATTTGGAGCCTCGAAACACTCCCCCAAATTCAGAATATAAATCAAAGGGCAGGGATGATGATGATTTCCGGAGGATTCCACCCGGTGTCGTTAGGGGGTGTTGAATATTAATACAAGCGGGAAGCGATTACACACCCCCCAGAAGACTCCTCAACAAGTCCGAGTGTGAGAGCCTAAGTCCTTAAGCCGTTAGCCCAAGCTACGCTACACTAGCAATTTCAAGTATCAGAAAGTACCAAACCGTGGGCTTTGTTGTTCCTGGCTTGTGATATTAGGGCTCTGAAGAGTCAGCAAAAGGACCTCCCTTTTAGGTCACACAACATTGTGAGTGGTGATATAATAGCCCACCAACCAAACAAGCATTGTGATGATCAAGACCTCCCCTGGTTGTAGGGCTTTTGGAGGCTTGGAGCTCGGCTGTAAGGTTCAGGGTAGGGTTTAGGGCTTTCGGGTTTTGCACAAAAAGGGCTTCAGCGGTTTGGTTGTGCTGTAGGGGAGAGTTCGTGTTCGTGTCAGAATCTGGAGATTTGGTTGGAAGTTGCTGCTGGGAGTCGGAACTCGTGATGAGCCCGAAGCCCTGAGAGAAACGCCAAACGCTTTAAAGCTCTGAGGCCCTGACCTTCAGGATTCAGGGCTGATGATTTTGGGCCAAGGATCTAGGGTTCAGGATTTAGGAGTTCGGGTTTTCAGACGCAACTCAGTCCCATCGAAACCCTCCAGCAGCGGCAGAAACAAGCTCCGAAATTGCAGCCCTGCAGGTACATTGAATGGTTGCAGACCTCCACGAATCCCGGCGAGCATGTTGGGGGACTGCTGTGGCTCAAGTATTCACCGTGCTGAGGGTCGTCCCCGGCGAGTCGAGGAGCCAAGGCTTGCGAGTCCCACCTTACCAAGCAATCGAGTCACAAGCTATTTAGTGATTTGATTGGGCCCCTAAACCCTAAACCCTAAACCTTCTGACCCTAAACCTTAAACCCAAAACCCTAAACCTTCTGATCCGAGAAGGCCCTGCTAGTCGGGTTCAAGTTTCACGCATCTCCCGCCCAGTGCCGACAACTGCGAGGTCTCGGGCCCTCGCATGCCCTACCTGAACCCCAAATAACCTACCTTTTTAAGGACTTATTTAAGGAATTCATATGAAGGAACCCTAAAAAGATAGGTTCTTTAGGGTTTAGGTATGCCAGAAAAGGAACACCCAACTGACCCAACTCAGACCCTGAGCCCTGGGCAGGGATACCTGCAGCACCCCTAAACCACCGCAATGCAAGGAATCCGATCTTTCACCAGCACGCGCCACCAGCACCACCCATCACGGCTCCTGATGAAGGCACTTGGGCGAGATGGGCAGGAATACAGCGGCTCCGGGAATCTTGATGGCTTTAGATTGAGGGGTCTGGCGCGGAGTTTCGGTTAGTGTTGCAGGTTCATTTTTGGGCTGAAGGTTTGCCAGTGTGTGGGGAGTGTGTGCATACGTCCCAGCTCCGGGACCTGGAATGAAACCTTCGCTTCCACAGCTGCCTGCATCAGCTTATGCGCATGGTGGCAGGTGCAGTGGCAGACGACAACCGCTACCTGCCCCGGCTGAAGCCGCCAGCAGATAAGAAGATCCGGCCCAAGTGGCTTCTTGGTGGCACATGTTCAGACTTAGAAGGCACTGCAGTACACGAGACCCCTGGAGCATGATAGATGGGCCTCCTGCAGTGGAAAGGGCTGTTCATGAACCCCAGCAGGTCCAAATTCAACCGTCGAAATCCAGAGTTGACGCCGCAAGGCCTTGGACCCTGATGTTCAGTGGGACTTGAGGTTCTTGGTGCTGTCTCTTTTCTGAGTTTGGGTTTAGGTTGGGGGCTTCGGGCATTCGTTTGCTGAGTTTTAGTAGGGAAGGAGGGCGGCTGCCCCAACTCCCTGGGCAAGAAGAACCAATCGAGGTGGATGTTCGGCCATGTTTAAATCCCAAACCCCAAGCATTGTTCTTTTGGCTCAAGAACTTTTGTACCGATGTCTATGTTCGCCTGCCTAAAGCAACACGGCAGCTCTAAACCCTAAGCCCTACACCCTCAACCCAAGGGTCGAGATCAAGCGAGTGAGCCATGGCTTGCTGTGGAAAGACGTGCTCCAAGGTGTCCGTGTGCATCGGCTTCTTGCTGGCGATTGGAGGCTTTGCCTTGGCTTTCGCAGGGGGTTGGTCCCTGGCCCACATCAGAATCAATGTGAGTGCTGGCATTGACAGGGCCACGGCCGGGACCCTCACAGCGCCCAGCGATCTGGCCTGTCCCTATGCGATCTTCATTGAGAAGATTGCGTCCTGTCCTGACTTCATGACGTCTGCTGCGGTTTCCACAGGAGCATCCTTGGACACCAGCCTTTGCGGTGGCGAAGAGCTGCCGGATGATGGCCCCGAGCGTGCGCCGGCCAGGCGTGGCTTCCGGGACCTGGACTGGACGATTGGGGCAACCGAGATTACCATCACAGACTTGAAGCTTGCAGCCACGGTTACCTTCAGTGAAGACACCGACGTAACCCTGACAAGCAGCGAGGACATGTGGTCGATCCAGCTCTGCGACGTCTTCGCAGAGGTCTTCGAAGTCGCTGGACGGGCCATCGTCATGGTTGCTGTGGGTGTGGTCCTGCTGGTCGCGGGCCTGATCACCTGCACTATCGGCCTTTGCTGCTGTTGCTGCGCCCCCAAGGCGTGAGCGCAGAGAGCGCAAGTTGTTGAAGAGACTGGGACAGCCAGGGAGGAGACTTTCCGATTCTGTGAACTCCATGCCGCTCCAGGTTAAGAAAGCTCCCGAGATGTACCATATTCGGCTTGCAGCACTACGAACCACTTGTTGCACAGCTCTGCATCTTAGAGGTTTTAGCTTGCACGGGATCGTTGTTGGATGTTCTCTGCCGGCTGATCCGTGACGTGTGGTTTCACTCAACAGACTCGTCTCGAAATGCCTCGCCTGGATTGTCCGAGTGTGAGCGCCGAGACATGGGTAGTTCTCTATATCAGGCTCTTTCTTTTTCGTCCCACATATAGTACGGCACCCTTGTAAAAAGAAGGACTCTACAAGGGACCCTCATACCCACACGGTTCTTTCACGCCGTTTCGGTTTGTGACCCGGTCTAAGTTTTGCCGCCTCGTACCGGCCTGAGGGGGTGTTTTCGATGTGTCTCTCTGCACAGAACCTCAAAAGCTGGGAGCCGAAGCCGCCCCAAAGGGTCTAATAGAGGGGCCTAAATAATTATACCAATTCAATACAATTCTAGGGGTTCCTGAATCGATTTATAGTTTTTAGTGGGCCCCAAAGCCCTATTCTAATTATCAAGGCCCTATAGTAAGCATCAAGATATTCGTAGATATCGTGGACGTACAGCAGCTGCTATCCTGGTAGTAGGCTTAGACCCTCTGAAAGTCTGGGCTGAATCCGATGCCCAAGGAATCAGCGCTTCAATGCCGGGGTCAACAGGAATGAGAAGTGCCCGCAGGGCCAAAGTGCTTCGGTGGAAGCATCGGTTGTAGGCTTCAGCGGCGGCGTCGTGATGTAGGAAGGCAATCAGAAGGAAACGTCAAATTCTTAATGGGGTTCTTAAGCTAGATCCCATATCATGTCCTATACGTTGGAAGTCCGAAGCTGCAGCAGTCAGTATACGATCAGTTCCCCGGCGATACTGAAGGCACATGTTGTTAATTGTAGGATCCTTTTTCCAGGGGTACGGCCCTGAACCCCAAAAGGAACAAACACAAAAGTGCAGTGTTACGGTGATCCCAAGAGTTTCTCGGAGCGGTGTTTGACATGTCGAGCTTTGAGGGGTATGCTATGCAGTGGCTTACGTCATTCTGTTGTCTTTTTGAGGTTTGGGCATTAGGTCGCAGGGTTCCAGGTCCCTTCCGGATGACATTCCTGAAGACCCATGGCTCCTTGAGCCCTGCGGTAGACGACGGAATAAATGCTGTAACTACAATAAGTTCTATTCCTTTGGGGGCCTTGTTGGCATTGTTGTTTACGATGGTTATGAATCTATGAATAATGTTATTGCAGCAACATAGAAGGGTTCTAACATTCCCGACCTCTAATTTCCACACATTGGTTGATCTCCCTGTTCCCTCAAGCCCGCGACCCTAACTACTCTAAGCCCCCTAAATCCGCAACCCGGTAACCCAAAAGCTAGAGCATGTTAAGCGTTTGATGGTTTATGGTATAGTATAAGCCTCCAACTAAGGAAGCTCATGACAAACCAAGCTTTAACTCCGAACGCTTTGAAATTCAGGAAAGCCTCAACCCTTCATGCCCCCCTCCCCCTAAGGAACCTGCTTCCTTGATACGAAGCTGCTGCATCATCGTGGTATTAAAGGAACCCTGGAAGGAACCCTTATAGGAACCCTTAGACTCACCCCTACAGAATCCTTATGGGCACCCGTAAAGTACCCCTTATTGTCACTCCCTTACAGGGAGGGGCCTAGGAAGTCAAACACGTTTTTCCCGAATACAAAGTCCCATATCCCCAACAAAAACGTATAAGCCAGAGTGTAGGGTTTAGGGCTTAGGGCCGCAAACCCAATTGCAACCCAGTTGCAAAAAGGGCTTAGGGTTGACCGACCTAGTTCGCGACACGGAAGCCCTAGAACACCCTCTAATGAAGCCCTACTCGCCAAGGATCCTACTTTTCAAAAGCTCAGTCTCTTCCCGAGCTCAAGCCTCTTGGCTGCCGAAGCACCCTAAACCTAAACCCTCGAAACCCCCGAAACCCCTGAAACCACAAAACCCTAGCATCCGTCACTCAATGTGTCACGCCGGCTACTGCACACGTGGATCCTCGCCTGGCTTGTCCGAGTTGTGAGAGTGTAAACACCCTAAATGCAAAACCCTCAAACTCTAAACAACAAAAACAGGCTCGGGGGATCCCAGAATTGCGTTGTTGTGCGCTTTTCGGTCGAAGGTCAGAGATTCAGGGCTTCGGGTTTAGGGCTTTAGGGAGTTGCAGGGTTGTGGGTTCAACGTCTAGTTGAGTTTGTGGCAACAGTTTGTTTTGTCGAGGCTTGATTTCTGTTTTAGTTTGGGCCGGGGATGGGTTGACACCTGGCAGAATGGCAGGGCATGATTAGGGAGGGAGGACGAGTGCATGATTTCGTGTGAGGGGTTGCTACAGACAGATGTCTCTTATGTTTCAACATTCGCATATTGCGTAGTCGACTCTAGGACAACATCGGGGCCGAGCTGTAGTAAGCGTCGAGCGTGTGTTTAAGTCATGGTACAGGTCCGCGGGCCTAGGGTCTCGACCGCGCAGGGAACGAGTTGCCAAGTGAGGCAAATCCACTGAAGTCTTACAATTTGGTTGTCGATGGTTTTAGCATGTGGCGAGGTACAGTACTGTAGGGGTCTGCATGAGTAGGATACCTCCTCTATTCCCTAGTAAGTGTATGTATACTGTGATGTTTCCTTAGTCCGATTGTTGCCGTCAGTATGCTAACTTTATTGGAGGTTCGGGAACCACCCCGGTTACCCAAGTCCAGCGACGCATCTCTTTATCGGCAGAGCGGTGACTACCCAGTTACCCAGTTAGGTGATGTTAGGTGTTCAGGGCAAAGTGCCCCTGACAATCGCAAGACACATGCATCAATCATAGGCTACACCCTGAAACCCTCGGGCTGAATCCTGACTCCAAGTACTCAGCAAGAACAACCCTAAACCCTAATCCCCTAGAACCCCCCCACCATGGGGACCATAATGGCTGCTGACTCCTGTCAGCCGTATACCTCAACCCCAGAGGCCCTAAACCCTACACCTTGATACGTACCCTGCAATGCGGGCTTGTCCTTGCTAAGTAGGAGGCAAAAAATACTTAACAAAAACCTACTTGTCTTAGTTTCCTACAAGCTCCTGAAGCTTAGCATGTAGTACCCCGAACCCGAAAGCCTAAACCCTGAAGCTTAATATGTAGTACCCGCAGAAAGCTTGACAAGTCAGCTTTGGTTCATTAATCTTCGGTTTGTCAGGCGCTTCTACGAAACTCGCCGCGGCTTTCGGAGCATGGCCAGTTTAATGCAGCTTCCCGAGGCCTCTGGGGGGTCGTATTGCTGAGTCACCGATAGAGCGCACCGTAGATGGGGTTTCTATAGCTGTATACATATATTGCACATATCGCATATATATATATATATATATGTATGTATGTATGTATGTATGTATACATACATACCTACATACATACCTATTGCCTATACATACAAATAACCTCTTGGGGTCCTTTTGAAAAAGGTTGGGGACCTAAAAGGGGCCCTCGTTTAAAGAACTACCCAGCATAGGGCTCGAGGATGTGAAGTTTAGCGTTTCTGGAGTTCTGGGCAGGGCATGGCTGTACACTCAAGCACTGCCAACTGCCTGCGGGATTTCGAGATGTTTCGTATGTCCCCACACTCTAAACCTCTAGCTGTAAATCGTAATATAGAAGCTTGAATAATTACCAATGTTATTGCTCGGGGTTCCCTATGATAACTATACTGTAAAGTGGCCAAAAAAGCCTATTCTAATCATTAAAGCCTCTACAGTAAACCCCACAACCCTTAAACCCGGCAGTTCGAAGATCAGTTTCAGGCTCAGGCTCCACTTAGCCAAGTGCTAGAGGAGCTCAGGATTCACTGGGCTCCGTACTACGAAACGGGATTTGCGGTACTAGGACTTAGGGCTCAAGATTTTCAGCGTAGGGTTTTAGGGTTTTAGGGTGTAGGGTTTTAGGGCTTAGGGCTTAGGGTGAGTTTAGGGTCAGGAATTTTCGCTGCACGGCTTGAGGGTCTTTGTAGAGTATATCGCAAGTACTGACTGTCAGATCAAGGGGTTGGGTTTGGCACTGAGAGTTCGATCTCTTATGGGTCCATGATCTGAGAAAAGTGTTAATAAGAGCCTTTTTGGCTCCAGCGTTGGTCCAGTTCAGAAAACAGGATTTAGCAAGAGTCGATAGTACGGGCTCAGCTTTTCCAGAACAGTCTGCTGCACCGTCCACTTACTTCAGAGATGTCCTCCCAGAGTTCGAGCAGTAAGATCTACGCATCCCTAGTTCATGAACTTGGTTCGTATTTTTTGATTCACGTACATAGCATAACAGAACATACTTGTGTATCTGGGCAGATGCATGGTCTAATACGTCAACTTGGACTTGAGAGGGTTTGGCAGCATGTAGATGGATTACCTGCAGCCACCTGTAAGCTGGGTTTTGTTGGCTCCGTACTATGATTCCTAGAGTACTACATCAGAATGTTTGTGAAACTGGTAGCTACATGTCGGTCCAGATCGGTGATTCCTGTATATCACTTACGTATTTCCTCAGCACGTTCCCTGACGCTACAGGTAAGCTTCTGGAAGGAAGTTGAGCGAAAGGACGACTGTAAGCCCTCGCCCCAAGGTCGTCTGGTGACTGAACTATACGAAGGTCTACTGATTCTAAGACATGAGAAGTCCACACTACACCTTACACGAGGATCCGCACTTAGACCACTCAGCAGAACCAGAAAAGTCCCACATCTCAATCTTGTTATGCTTCAAACTTTAAGATAGGCTTTCAGACGAGATGTCGAGTTTAGGTACACCTTTGCAAGAGGTCCGCAGTGAGTTGACCTGCAGTTAAGAACTTGATGGGGACTTGAAGCGTTTTTCAGCTCTGAACCGTCCCAGTTCTATAAGAGATTGCAGGAACCCTGAACTCTAACCGC